AGTCTTTGTTTGTCTATTTACTTGTCAAGACACACGGTGGCGTGCTGTGCGGTCAAAACAGCCTGCTGTAGGACACACTGTGTGTTATTAACAGGAGTGATTGTTCAGCGATTTTTCACCTCCTGTATCTCGGACTGTGGCAATCCAAACTAAAACATATTGTCATTGGACGTGCTCTACTGAACTCTTACTTCACATACCAAATTTTAAGGAAATCCATTAAGAAATACCTGAGATATAACATCTCCAATTTTGATTGAGTTTCTTCCTTTATTTTTTTCTTCGCATCAAAAGTATGGAAACTTTATTTGATAGAAAAACATACTTAACTTTTATGGATTTTTTTTTCAAATTTAGTACACTGACAGATCTTTAGAACCTGCAATTAGGAGTCTCATTTACTGTGACTATAAGTCACATGTGCAAAGATATTTAACAAAAATCGCTCAAATTTAAAGAAAACTTTTGCGCACGTCTAAGTAAAAAGTCACGTGAGCTATCGGTCTAACATTTTTACCACAGCTTCATCTAAGAGTAAAAGTTGACCGTTTTTAGTTTTTGTCATTCGGATTAAAGACTGCTTACTAAGAGTAGCAAAACTATAAGGTGAAAGGACGTGCAGATACATTAGTATTGGTTAGGCCAAGCAACTAGATTAGCAGTTTCTAGCTCAAGTTTTCAAAGGAATCACACGGGTGGACGGTTATTACTGATCATTCAATGCCAACTTTTCAGCACAAATTTACTAAATTTTATGAAATTATCCTAATTAAAGAACGTTTAGCGTCACAAAATATTAGCTTAAGCAATTAGCATAAATAATGACGCTTGTACGGTTGTACCGATTGCATGGTGTTGATGACAAGAAACTGTTAATCCAAATTCCATGGCGTTAATATAAGGGAAGCTATTAATACTGTTTCAGAGATGAAAAACTACTACCATATATTTTAAAGAATCTGGCTGGTTCTGTAAAGTAAAGTCTGTTCCGAATATTAGGGTTGCGATTCTAAAGCTAATGTTGGTTACTAATCGAGTGTCACTTTCTTAATTGCTTTGAATTTTTGGTGTGTATTGACAAAAATTCATGATATCTAATCAAAAACACCTTAGGTGTGAAAAAAAGGTGCAGCCAAAAGAGGATTCAGTGTGTGACTTAAAGGAATGAAATTAAAATTTGTGGCCAAACTGGTAGCTACACTTATAGCATTGATAAGAATTTTACAGCAAATATTCATTCATTAGTTAGCTAGGCCGCATATTTTGTTTTACCCACCATCATGCCCAAAGTTAATACGTACTCTCTTCATAACTCTAATCCGCCTTTAGTCTTTTCACTTGTATCAATACACGTGTTACACGTGTTCCATACAAACCTGGCCTGTCTCTAGCTGCTTTCTCCTCTTCAGTTGTGTTTTCTTTTTGAAAATTATGTAGGCTTGGCTCCAGCTCCTCCTCGTTGGGAGTAGGAGGTAGATAATTTTACAGGGCTGCTCCCCACACAAGTCTACTGAACGCTGAAAGTCCAATTACGTCCGATTTATTTAGTTATTTCTGTCGAGAAATGTAAACGTGTATATCACATTTAACTGTGGAAAAACCAAAAGCTAAAAGCTGACATAATTTTAAGGCCGGCGCTAAGGGGTGGGCCGTGCACACCCAAATTTCCCACTGACCCACCCAAGTTCATTCTCCCTAGCGGTTTAGAAAATCACATTATAAATTTTTTTAAATCGTTTGATATTTTTTAAGTCACTAAGAAGAGTTAACAAAAGGTACTTGCTCTCCGTGAGAAAATTACACGTAGGGCTTTGAAAAGTTGCACGAAAACCTGATTTTAATGGTTGAAGTTGCACGTTGAGTAAATATGGGCCACAACAAACGTGACCAAAAGCAGTTTTAATCTGGCCTGAAACAATAGGTAGTATAGAGTAGTCGCCCACTTAAAGTTAAATCGTCTTGTTTGTTTAGTAACTCCAGACTCAATGGATTTTATTATCCCGAACTAATTAACTCTCCATGTCGATTTTAATTCAGTGTACTATGTGATAACAAGTTTGTTTTTGATTTGTTTGTAGTTAAGTGCAAAGGTACACAATGGGCTATCTGTGTTGTGCCCACAAAGGGTATCGAAACTCAATTTTTAGCGTTATAATCCCAAAGACTTTCTGCTGGGTCAACTGGAGACGTGACATTAAGCATCAGTATTCTTAGTGCAAAGCTACATAATGAGCTATTTGTACTCTGTCCATCGAGGGAAATCGAACCCCGGATTTTAACGTTGTAAATCTGTAAACTTGCCGCTGGTAACTGGGGACAATAAGTATTTTACCTCGTGTATATTGTATAGTTTTGGTAAATAGAGTGAAGTCAAATAAAGAAAATATATTGTTACACTGATTGATAAGATACTTTATCACTAACCTATTATTGAAAATACTGTAGTCCTTGTTTTATCACTAGCTTATCAAAACACTATAGTGTTTACTTTATCATTAACCTATCATTGAAAATACTGTAGTCCTTGTTTTATCACTAACTTATCAAAACACTATATTGTTTAATTTATCACTAACCTATTACCGAAAATACTGTAGTCCTTGTTTTATCACTGGCTTATCAAAATACTATAGTGTTTACTTTATCATTAACCTATTATTGAAAATACTGTAGTCCTTGTTTTATCACTAGCTTATCAAAACACTATAGTGTTTACTTTAGTACTAACCTATTATTGAAAATACTGTAGTCCTTGTTTTATCACTAGCTTATCAAAACACTATATTGTTTACTTTATCATTAACCTATTATTGAAAATACTGTAGTCCTTGTTTTATCACTAGCTTATCAAAACACTATAGTGTTTACTTTATCATTAACCTATCATTGAAAATATTGTAGTCCTTGTTTTATCACTAACTTATCAAAACACTATAGTGTTTACTTTATCATTAACCTATTACTGAAAAATACTGTAGTCCTTGTTTTATCACTAGCTTATCAAAACACTATAGTGTTTACTTTATCATTAACCTATTACGAAAATACTGTAGTCCTTGTTTTATCACTGGCTTATCAAAACACTATAGTGTTTACTTTATCATTAACCTATTACCGAAAATATTGTAGTCCTTGTTTTATCACTGGCTTATCAAAACACAATATTGTTTAATTTATCATTAACCTATTACCGAAAATATTGTAGTCCTTGTTTTATCACTGGCTTATCAAAACACAATATTGTTTAATTTATCATTAACCTATCATTGAAAATACTGTAGTCCTTGTTTTATCACTAGCTTATCAAAACACTATAGTGTTTACTTTATCATTAACCTATTACAGAAAATACTGTAGTCCTTGTTTTATCACTGGCTTATCAAAACACAATATTGTTTAATTTATCATTAACCTATCATTGAAAATACTGTAGTCCTTGTTTTATCACTAGCTTATCAAAAC